GGCGAGAATTGGACGGAATCTAATTTTTCGCGGCAGAATTCAGATGCCAAAACACCAATGAATAGAGAGTGGAACTAGAATTGAATTTTAGATTTAGAGAAAACTAAAATTTTAACTAGAAAATCATCACAGATAGCGCCAAATTGTTTGACTCAAAAGATATTAAAACCTTTTTGAACAAATCAATCAAAGATGAAAGGGTAAATCCTAGTTAAAGATAATTAACTCTAGATCCGAGATGAACAATATGAATAGAAAAACATAGCCGAGTACAAATATTGGTCGTGATTATAGCCAGATTTAATAGCATAAAGAAAGATGCATTAAGTAACATTAAACGGCAATAAAGTGTAAATAAAGGAAAGGATTCATCCAATCTTGAGTGGGGCGAATCCTCTTTCATTTGATAAAGATGAGTGATAGACAAATACAAGAACCTTTGGACCCTTTTTGGATCCGATGAAGGTATAGAATCACAGATCCTCCAGAGATATATGTTTACATATTTTTTAGAGAGAGGGAGAGAGAGAGCCCCCTCCTTTTGGAAGTCCCCCCTTCCTATTTATAAGGGGTATCCATAGAAAATCCTAAAAAGTACAATTAAAGGAAGAATATTCCCTTTGAGAATTCCAAAGCAAACTAGCTATTTCATCGCTGTCCGACCTCGGTTTTATTGATGACTGTCCGACTTCGGCTATTGATGACTGTCCGACTTCGGCTATTGATGATTATCCGACCTCGACCTTATGTCTCCGCGTGCCGAATTTCTTTGATCTAATTTTACCCGTACAAAGAAATTTGAGTACAAGTTGAGGCGGGAAAGAATGTATTAAGCATTATTTTTTCTTGAAAAGAATAAAAAGAAAACCCAAATACATGCAAGTGACGCCAGTCTAGTTGTACAACTGTTGAATGACTGTGGCAGCGTGATTGGCTACTGTCGTCCCGACCTCAAATGCAGCCAATGAGGAAGCTTCCTTCAATGGGAAAGAATTTGATTGAAGGCACAGAGAAAGCACCATAACATCATTACCTGTTACCATCCACTGTGCACAAGTACAGCAATATGATTTAAAAAAAGAGTCTAACTATTGGCCAACTGGGAAATAAATTTTTCTCATCTGGGAATATAATGTTGATATCATGATTGTATTTGTATAGTGATGAGAATCCAAGAGACAACTAGCGCTCTTATTAGATTAATTAATCGCTTCCTAAATTAACAGGGCACCGAAGAAAAAACATTAAGCTGGTATTACACCTTAAAGATCAGAATGTTAAGTGACATATTAGCCAATTAAAAGTAAGTCTTAGACAAACTTCAGATTATTTTTTTAAATATAAACAGAATGAAGTAACTTGGAATAAGAAACAACCAGTAAGCTACCAAGATTATATATAAAAACTGTGACACATTTAATGTGAACACTACAATTTCTTAGAGAAAACAAGATGTATACGTTTGGCGAACTTGGCTCTATCAAAATTTTAGCCCAAGATCCAAAATATAGACAGTATAAAGTATGAAGATAACAAGAGAAATTTTACAAAGTTTGGTCTGTTTCTCATAAATTGTGCTAGAACAAAAAAGCTATCCGTGTTCTCCATGCCAAAAGTGGATTAGAAGATGTAATTTGTAATATAATTAGTGAGAGTTAATAGTAAATTGATGATAAGGCCCTCATAACAATGCCATTAAACCCAGAATCATAAGAACTCCAGAGATAGCAACAAATCCCTTCTCCTTAATAACTTCATTAGCCACATAAACCGCCACCTCCGATGTAATCTTCTTCCCATCCTTAGCAAGAACACGGCGTCGTTTTCCGACGAAAGCTAGGAGCACCAGCACCGTGATCCACGCCACAATGGTGGTTCTGACGGCTAGGACAATGAGTCCGGCCACCACAACGGCGGTAAATGCGGCGGCGGCTATAAAAGGGAAAACAGAGGCGGCTTCCCTGGTGTCACCAGAGGAGAAGAAAATAGTAGTAGTAGTAGATAACGAAATCAAGAGAAAAAACAAACAAGTCGTGGTTGTAGTGGTCGTGTTGAAAAGGTTTTGTTCTGAGATATTCATGTTTTCAAGTGTCTGTCTGTATATTCTTTTTCTGGGAGTTGTAGAATGTTTAGGAGAATGGCCAATTAATGGGTGTTTGGGAGGAAGAAAAAGAATTGAAGGAGGAAAGAAGGTGTTAATCGCTGTTAGTTTAATCATTAATAGTAGTTAATAATAATAGAGTGTTTAATTTTTTAGGGCAAACCAATTCATGACACGATTTGTAAGAAGAAAGGAATTGGAACACATGTGATTTCACATGGCAAGGTTGGCAAATTAGGAGACGGGGTACATAGTTTTTGGTAGACAGTACTATTATACCAACTTTATTTTATTTTCTTCATGTTAAGAAAACAAAATATTATTGTCTATACATGATATTCTGTCGCTATAATTAATTTTAGAAAAGATAAAAAGAATGATCTTCATGATTGTTTGTTAGATTTTGTTATTTAAGGTAAACCCGTCTTATGGTATATTCTCATCTTCTTCTTTTTTAATTGTACCTTGCAGTTTTCTATTTTTGTTTACATTTCTATAACTGAAGAAATAAATGTGATGGCAATTTGGACTATGAGCAGAATTATGGTAAATCATTGTCTTCATAACTTTCTTCAAAGCTTTTCCAAAGAGACAGTTTGATGATTAAGATATAATAATTCAAAAAATATTAGTGACACTGAGTTTGAAAAATTATTAATTAGACAATTTCAACTTTCATGTAACCATGTGAAAAACAAAACAAGAACATTTTGGAAATTGGAAGTTCATCTTTATAACCATGTTTTTAAAAATAAAAAAAAATCCCTCCCAATTTAAAAATAATGCTACATTTGTGTCAGATTCTCAAAAAATACACTGTTTTTGGATAATTCGACACACGCAGCCAACAATATTTCTGGAGAATTCGAGCAATTTGAAATCTATAAACAACTAAAATTATCGCGGGAACTTACCCTTAGTTTGGAAATTAAAGAAAAGGAAGGATAAGAAAAAAGAAAGTAATATGCAATGTTGGGGTAATGATCAACAGATGAGCTGAACAAAATGATATGGTGTCCATCTCATTCAAATGATTTGGTAGCCAATTTTATTGACTTGGTTTGGTTTGGATGGTGTGATCTCTATGGATCTTGCCAAGAGCAGCCTTCTAAATGAAGAGATGAGAAGAAAATCTCAGGGTTCCTACTCATCAGATGTCTTGGTGACTGACTCTAGGGGGAGAAACAAGAATCGGGGTTCTCAAAATAGAGAACATAATAAAAGCAAATCCAGAAGCAGACTTAAAGATATTGAGTGCTATCATTGCGGGAAGAAAGGGCACACAAAGAAGTTCTGCCGGATTTTGAAAAAGGAGAATAGAGACAAGGAAGAGCAGAAAGAAGATGACAATCGTGTGGCCACCGTCACTACAGAAGATCTTGTTACAGTCCTTGATGCGGATCTGATAAATATTGCTTGTGATGAGTCAAGCTGGGTTGTGGACAGTGGTGCCGCATCTCATGTGACATCAAGGAAGGAATTTTTCTCATCCTATACTCAGGGTGACTTTGGAACTCTGAGTATAGGTAATGAGACTGTATCTAGGGTGGCTGGTGTTGGAACGATTTGTTTGGAAACTAGTATTGGAACTAAACTAGTTTTAAACAATGTAAAACATGCACCTGATGTTCGTTTGCACTTGATCTCTGTTGGTGTTTTGGATGATGAGGGATATGTCAGTACCAATGGTGCTGGAAAGTGGAAGCTCACTAAGGGCTCCATGATTGTGGCTCGTGGGGAAAAGCGTCGTGGTCTATACTGGACTACGGCCTCTACCTGTGTTGATATGGTGAATGCCGTTGAGAGCCATAACTCTTCAACGTTATGGCATAAGAGGCTTAGCCACATTAGCGAGAAAGGACTAAATGTTCTGGCCAAGAAGAAATTGTTGTCAAATTTTGAAAGTGCAAAATTAGAAAAATGTGAGCACTGCTTGGCCGGAAAACAAAAAAGAGTTTCTTTCCAGTCTCATCCTCCTTCAAGAAAGATAGAGTTANTTCAAGAACTTGGATTGCGACAGATGGAGTATGTTGTCTATTGCGACAGTCAGAGTGCAATAGATCTGAGCAAAAACTTCATGTACCATGCGAGAACAAAACACATTGACGTCCGATATCATTGGATTCGTGAGCAAGTAGAGAACGAATCACTTCAAGTCAAAAAGATTCACACGAGTGAAAACCCTGCAGATATGTTGACCAAGGTGGTACCAAGAGACAAGTTCGAGCTATGCAAAGAACTTGTCGGCATACACTCAAACTAGAAGATAGTGCTACCTCCTCTAGATGATTGAGACTGGAGGGGGAGATTGATATGGTGTCCATCTCATTCAAATGATTTGGTAGCCAATTTTGTTGACTTGGTTTGGTTTGGTAGCCAACTTTGTTGAATTTGTATAATTTGGTAGCCAATTTTATTGACTTGGTTTGGTTTGGTAGCCAACCTTGTTGAAATTGTGAAAAGGGTGTGTAAATTGTCAAATATTGTAGGCTTTAGAGAGTGAGGTTTTGACTATAAAAGGAGAGCTTTAACTCTCATTTCTACACACCAACAAAGAGAGAAAAAAGAGAGCAAGGTATTCCATAAACTCTAAGAAAATAGTTTGTAAAGAAAAATAGACTGTGAGAGATATTGTAGTGAGGTGGAAAAAGCAAAAGAGTGTTTATTTCTTTTGAGGGTGTAGTGGTCTTAGGAGTATTTTTTACTCGTTACTACACAGTGTAAAATTCCTCGCTATAGTGATATCAGTTGTTCTTCTTGGCCGTGGTTTTTTCCCTTATTCAGAAGGGTTTCCACGTAAAATCTTGGTGTCATTATTGCTGCATTTCTATTCTTGCTGATTTAACCATAACTTAGTATTTTGCGTTTATCACTAATACCGTGAATACTATTTTTTCGGGGTTTATTCCCAACACAAAATTATTTGTCTCTCTACATCTTTAAGTTTTACTTTGTATGGCAAGAGTGACAAGGTAAGATTTGTGAAACATCCGAATCATAACACATGACCAGTTGTTTCGGAAACCTGTACCCTACTCTCGGCCTTCCTTGCCTGTGCAAAACAAGCAGAGTTTTTCATCAGAGTAATAGTGGTTCCTTTTCTACTACAATCTGACAGCGAAAAATGTCTTGTAACTAAAGATTAGATTTTGAACTTGCTTGAAGCTCCCAATTCGTGCATAAGGTAATAAGTAGAAGAATTAATGCTTGAAGACCACTTCCACTTATAATTCCTGTCCAAAGACCCTGCTACCATAACAATGGCATCAAGAAACAATATGAGCCTCAAATAAACTTATTCAATAATGGATGTAACATTTGCAAGTGAGAGACTATTTACCTTTCCACCAAAATGGAAGACAAAAGTTAAAATGACTGCACAAGGAAGTCCAACAAGATAATAGGCTCCTAGATTGACTAGTGCACCAAGTTTCTGCCATCCACATCCTCTTACAGTACCTTTAATAATGTTATCATCATCAATAGAGTTGAATTCTGTATTTAAGCAATTCTATATCATCGAATTGATTGAAATGGCTTCAAATTTTATTTGATAGTTTTGAGTTCGGACCTGAAAGAGCACCTTGTATTCCATCCATGAAGTTGGATAATGCAAGCACTGGCATGATTGCAGCCAGATATTTCACAACTTCGTCTTCGTCAGTGTATATATATCCCCACACATTTCTTGCTGCAACTGCTATTCCACTCAGTACCAGGCCCTCTACCACAGCAAGAAGTAAGACGATGCGTGTTGCTAACTTTGCTGCTTTCGGTCTCCCTGCCCCCAACTCATTCGCTACCCTCGTACTAAATTGTCCGCAAAACAAAGAGCAAACAACACGGAACCTTTGTTAAAATAGTGTTTACACAAAATATTGGTCCTTTCCTTTCCGATTACACCTAGAAAATAGATGATTTTTTGGCAAGTTACCTTACTGCACTACCAAATCCAAAGGGAATCCTGAAGACTAGAGAACTCGTACTTAGGCTGGGAAAGATGAAAAGAGTTCATATGGGTTATCAATTGAATCAAATAAAGCTTTATATCAAAGAGTTAGTACATAACGGGAATTCTGTACTAACCTGATGGCCATCATAGATGTCTCAAGCTTTGGATTTGGAAGCAGACCTGACATAAGCACCAGAAACTCATAGGACCACTGCTCTAAGCTTGTTCCCAGTCCAAAAGGCCATACCAGATCACACGGTAAAAGGGGCAGAAAGGAAGAAAAATAAATTTCTACGACTATGACATATGCAAGAGCAAACAATTGGATGGACAATCTACACTGGGATAACGAAGGGGAACCTTGGAGCAACGGTCAAGTTGTCTCCGTGTGACCTATAGGTCACGGGTTCTAGCCGTGGAATCAGCCACTGCATCAGAGTAGGCTGCCTATATCACACCCCCTTGGATGCGGCCCTTTCCCGGACCCTGCGTGAATACGGGATGCTTTGTGCACCGAGCTACCCTTAATTTACATTGGAAAAACGGCTTAAGAAGATATGCTGAAACTAACCAGACCATAAGTGCTGAAGGGATAGCTAATGATAGAAAACTGGGAAGATTTCTTCCACCTTCGTTGGAAAACCCCGTCCATGTTTCTGTACATGATGATGCAAACCATATATAAAGGGCCAAAAGCAGCACATTAATCCAATAAGATATGGCATTACAGAGTGCAGCCCCTTTGTTTCCCATTCCCAATTTGAACACCAACGCCCAACACAAGAAGACATGAATTAAACTTGTAAAACCAGTGCTGATCACAAGTGGTTTGACTCTGCTTTGTGTTTGCAGGAACCTTAGTTGGCATTGAAGGAGTCCATAAGGAAAAATGCTGGGAATTAACCAACGAGCATACAATCCGGCATGGGTTGAAAGTTCCAAATCTTGTCCACAGAAAGCAAATATATGCCCGGCGAATGCCCATATAAACGATATGGGAATGCCAATTGCCACCAATACAAGCATACCTCTTTGCATGTGTATCCCAAGCATATGATATTGTTTTGCGCCATAAGCTTGTCCACATAATGTTTCCAGTGCACTTCCCAATCCTAGCTATTCATATGTTATAGTGTATCACAAACCAAAAACAGATAATCCAAAAAAAAAAAAGGAAAAAAGAGAGAGATTATAACATGATCGAATGAAGTCATTAGAACCATGCAATTAATGGAGTTCTTTTCCAACTAATTTAAGGACAATTCCAGACAATCATACGAACAATAATTGGAGAAAAGTAAATGTTCCAATCTAATCTGATAGAATTTTATCTAAGTTCCAGTTAGATTCTTACCATGAAGCTGAAACCAGTTACTCCAGCAAAAGAAGTGGCTAAAGTTGCACTAGAAAGAGGAAGTTGCCCAAGATGACCAACAAACATGATGGATATCATCTGCAAAAAGTACTGCAAAAAACTCACAAGAACCAGAGGTCCTGCTAATTCTAGTTGTTTCTTTAGCTCTTCAATAGCCTCTGCTATATCACAACACCACTTGTCATGTTCTTCAGGATTCCGTGAACCCTTTTCAATATTGGAGAGAAGAGGATAATCAAGAAGAAATTCGGAGTTTCTTTCCCTGGTCATGGTTTTGTTGTATCACTGGAAAATGGGAAGAACAGAGATAACAATCAAAGTAAAGAAGAGAACCAAACACAATGTGGACAAGGGATGGCTAACGGTGCGGGTTCTGTTTAACCCGCAAAATCAACCTGCCCCGCCCGCCCTGCATAGGACTTTCACCCGTGTCCACCCGCCCGGCAACCACACTCGCGTCCACCTGCCCGTTTAAGTATTTTTTTTTAGTTGGTCCTTTGGTTAGCTTTATTTCTTTTTAATTCTTTGGCTGGAATTTCCATTTTGGTAAGGATTTAAGTTTGGTCTGGAATTATCCATGTGCTGTTTCTCATTTCACAGTAGTATTTTGGTTCCATTTTAGTTAAATCTGAACCGTGAGATGTCACGTTTGCAGAGGAACCTGGAGTGCTACAAGTTGTTCCATTTAAACTAGGACAATCCTTGATCGAATTCAGAAATTAATTACTCTGAATTAATTAAGGACGTAAAAGTAATTTCTTTTGGATTCAAAAATAGAATAATACTTAATAGATTATATCACTTTGATTTTCATAGGTCAATTCAATTATAACAAATAGTAACAAATAGTAAGCCTTGTAAGAGATGCTAGATTCGGTAGTACAATCTAATTAAAAGCTTTTTATTAAATTACGAGGATAGCCTGATAGCTTCAATCTTCGTAAGATAAGAGAACCGAAAGAAGAAGATGAAAGCCGAAGAAAATTAGCATAGGCGGAAAGTTATAGTTTTGTAAAAAATTTAATTAACCGCACCCCATAGAATTTAAAAAAAAAAAAAGTTTTTTCGCCCCACCCGCTTATGTCTAAACCCGCCCCTCCTCTAAATGTGGCGATCTTGCAATCGTTGTCAATCTTATGTAATGCATAAATTCAACAACCATACAAAAATATAATTATGTCACCAGCTACTTGGCTCTAACAAAAATATTTTGGTGATTTGGTCCAAGGTTAAACGCATAGATTGCCTATATTTGTAGTCTTGTAGATGATGAATGTGATTCATGCTACTATTTTAGTATGCTTCAATATTCTCTCCATCTGTGACTCAGTCTTCTGGTGTGCTGGCAATTCACGAGTATCATGCATTGAGACATAAACCTGTAACACACGTTAATGAGCTAGATATGTCTGCATTCTATTTACAGTGTATGCTTAGGCTATTAACTATTTCAATAGTTGACTCTAATTTTAGCCAAATACCGTTATACTGCACGTATTCTTGGTCTACCTGATATTAGATAATTTAGTTTCACCTTTTTTTCCTATCTATATCTGCATATTGTCCTCTGATGTAGTTTTCGCAGTTAAGAATATATAGAGCCTCGGATGCGCCGAAGGGTGTGGTTTAGTGGTCAGTAAATTGGTTGAGAATTATGAGGTGGTTCAAATCTCGGGGATAAAACGCTAAGTCAAAACCTTGGTAGACGAAGTTATTCGATACATGTGCTAGATACCCTAAAATTAGTTGAGGTTAGGCGCACACAAATTGACCCATACACAAATTGAGGTTAGAGCCTTGGATTTAGAAAGAGGGTCACGGCATTTATTTATAGAGTATATTCTTAAATTTCCAGGGCGGAGCCTTGGCATAGAACAAGGGAAGGAAGGAGGAGGATGACTTTTGTTAATTGGTATGAAGAAACCTTGTATCGAAGTGGTGAATGTTATTTTGGAAAAAATAGAAACTTAAAATTAGGAAAAACTGAAAATGCATTTAAATTATACAATTAAAAAAAAAAGATGAACAACATAAGGAAATTAATTTAAGTATCCGTAAATAATTATGTATATATGTACACATAATTGTATACTAAGTCAGTTAATTTGAACTTTTAAACTACGTTTTTATTAGTCGAACACCCCCACCCTATTGGAACATCATTAGACTTTGTAGGTGTTTAGAAAATATTTGTTTGAAACCGAGAAAGAAAAAGTTGAGACGTGAACTTCACTTTTGAGAGCAAAGTTGAAATTTTGTAGCAGAAACTAGTAGTCGAATTTAAGTAGAAATACACATTCAGACCACTATTTCAATATTTTCCTTGAAGTTCCAATACTGAAACTAAACATTTGCAAATAGCCATATCCAAACAAATATTATCTTGGCTATCACTAATTAGAAATACTGGTTTGACCATCAGTATTTGAAAATTGTATAAGGTAGAAATCGGGGCTACCCGATTTATAGGCTCAAAAGCGAGGTCGAGTTCGAGCCCGATGGACCAGACTCGAGCTCGAAGACAGAATGCGATGCCCGGAGATAGAAGTACGAGGGATATCGAAGCCAAGTATCCTCGACCCCGAAATAGTACCGTTGCGAATTCGTAACAGAATGGGCTAGATTCCTGCCACGTCCCCAAGATCATGGCGCAAATCCCGAAATAGGATTGTACGATTCTGTACTAGGCGGTTAGACAGCTGTAACAAGAATATTCCTTACTGTAAATAAAAATGTACCTTATATATTTAGGGTTGCCCTGTTATATAAAGGGGACTCCAATCATTTTGTAAGATGATCTAATCATTGAAGAAAGAATATACTCTGTACTTTTTGTCTACTGTTCATCAGAATTATCCTTTAGCTCTACTGTTCTTACTTTACTTTCCTTACTTAATGGTTCTTATTGTTCTAAGGCCACCTCGAGGTCACTAAGCTTGAGGTCACCGCTGCTGAGTAATATTGGTTTGATTCACTTGTCTCTTTCATTTCTATTTCATATTTCTTGATTATTAATTGGTATTGAACTAAATCACATATCTTTAAAATCACAAATCAAATTTAATTGTTACTCGTATTTTTGAGGTAAACAGTTTGGCGCCCACCGTGGGGCTAAAGATAATAGTGATTATTTCAGTACTGATTCTGATAACACGCGCTATTTTTACACTTGCTCTTGTCAAAGATTCTTTGTTTTCAGGTTAAAACATGTCAAACTCACAAAACGATCCCGTACACGGCAGTGACGGTCTTGGATTTCATAGGGAAAACGAAAATGTAGTTGCTCTAGGAGCTGGTGTACCACCGATAAACCTAGGGGAAGTGCTAAATATGGAGTCAGTTGATGTTAGTTCACACATTACTCTAAACGCGGATTTAGGCACAGACCCCCGGGGGAATGCACGCAGGGAAGCCCGATCTGATGGCCAAAGAGCACCAGGAATAGGAGATGGGGGAGTCAGCCTCCAAGTGATATTCGAGATGTTGCAAGCTCAGCAAATAGCTATCGCTCAACTTCAGAGTCAGAATACAACTCCAAATACAGCCAAACCAGTTAACACTCGGCGTGCTGAACCGGTGCTAGAAAGGCCAGGTAAAAGTGGCTCAGGGACTGATCCCACGGTTATGAGGACGCTCGAGGAACTCACCAAGAGAATTGAGTCCAGGGAGAAGAAGATCGAGGATAATGACAAAACAATGGAGACTTATAACTCCCGTGTTGATCAAACACCGTGGGCACCCCCGATCTTAGAAGGACTAGACTCTAAATTCTAAAAAGTTCGTGCAAAGACCCTTCCCCTCTAGTGCGACTCCGAAGCCAATTCCCAAGAAGTTCCATATGCCCGAGATTCCCAAGTATAACAGGACGACCGATCCAAATGAACACATCACCTCGTATACGTGCGCCATCAAAGGAAACGACTTGGAAGATGACGAAATTGAATCCGTACTGTTGAAGAAGTTCGGGGAGACTCTATCCAAGGGTGCCTTGATATGGTATCATAACTTACCCCCTAATTCTATTGATTCGTTTGCTATGCTTGCATATTCTTTTGTAAAAGCACACGCCGGAGCCATCAAAATTGCAACAAGGAAGTCAGACCTTTTCAAGGTAAGGTAAAAAGAAAACGAGATGCTCAGGGAATTTGTATCTCGGTTCCAAGCAGAGAGAATGGATTTGCCTCCAATCACTGATGGCTAGTCCATTCAAGCTTTCGCTCAAGGTCTCAACACTCAGAGTTTTATAGCTTCATGTCAGTTGAAGCAAAGTTTGCTCGAGTACCCGGATATCACTTGGGCTGACGTACATAATCGGTATCAATCGAATATTAGAATCGAAGATGATCAACTGGGGACTCCTTCGGGGTCCGTTTATCCTATTAGTCCTATGGGTAGGATCAAAGGGGACGTCGATCGAGAGACGAGGTCGATATCAACCATACAACGGAGACCATAGAGGCAACGAGTCTGGGCTTTGCACAAAGTGAGAGGAGAAATGGTAGAGGTCGAAATTCACGAGGACACGATCACATTAAATCTCCAAAATCCAAAAAAATGTACGACCCCATTCTGATTCTCTCTATTTTTTTGACTAACATTTGCAGGCTATCAACAAGGATCAGTACGAAGCTTTGAATCTTAAAGCACACGTTGCACTCTTTTTCCCTTGGACCAGTTTTTGTCCTAAATAGGTTTTTCCGACAAGGTTTTTAATGAGGCAACCATTGTTCGTGCTGGCTTAGGGCAGTTCAAAGGTATCTGAGGTTCCCTGAGATAATCCTCGAGATCTGGGAGGCATTGCCCTCGAATGTCCACTTTGTTGCAAGGAAATTACTCCATGACAATGGGGCTCGATAGGAAAATGTTGTAAGGGTCAAACAGTTAGATGAGTCATGCCCATATATGTTACTCGAGCCTTAACATCAAACATGTGCGCATGTATAATAGTCCATTGAGAGAAGTACTTTTCCTTGCCGATATCTCATGCTTCTAGAAAAATTTTCTATTTCATACTCTTAATTTATTGTGTAAACAGGCTTAAGGCCCAATCACAACGGAAGTTCAAACTGCCAACATTTCGAAACCATAAGACCTTAAAGGCGATCCTCGATTTTATGGGCCACAGCCACCCCACTCAGGGACTGACTCTGCGGTCAAGCTCAAAGTGAAACGTAAGATAAGCCAAAAGGGCAAGTTTCGAACTAAAAAGGCTACGGCCAAGTTAACGCGGATCGAGGCGTCCAAAATCCATAACGAATACAGAAGCCCAAGCGCTATCATAACCCGAGTTCGAGCAACTCTCATTCGGGGACTATCTATGAAGCCTACGGGCTAACTTTTGTCGCGCCCCCTTTTTTCCCTTTTATGACGGGGAAGTCCGGGTTTCGACATTCACGGGGTGTAATGACTCATCCTCTTTTGGGAATTGGGTATTTGAAGAGTCGCCACCTAATGGATTATGGTGCGTTAGGGCACCTAAAGCGATTAACTCTTGGGTTGGTTTGCATTACCAGAGATTAGGGTAAGGGCTCGAAGTAACCTCGAGGGGAAGGTGTTAGGCACCCCTCTTGTTCCACAATTATGGGTCCCGACTGAACTTA